CAAACTGGAGAAAAAAAAGTTTTTGTGACGCCTATCATCCGTTTCATCAGACTGGGTTTGAAAGAATTTTTTTTTCTTTTTTGAAAGATTTTTTTTACACTCTAGCCACATTGATCTATGTTCTTTTTCTTTTTCTTACCACCATCTTTGTTACTAAATATCCCACATTGTAATAACAGAAATCAGTGGATAGAGTAAATTCCTCCTTCAACTTTTGGCTTATTGTTTTGTTTTGTATTGATTAAGTTGTTTTTTAAAATATTTTACCAAAACAATCAACTTACTTTCGATATATTTTGATGATGCTCTATTAATATATCCATGTGATAATGACTTACTGGTTCTTGTAGATAAACTAAACAAAGTGGAACATACAATAGAATTGACATACGAAATAAAAAAAAACAATAATTTACCTTTCCTAGACATCATTTTACACCGCGTTGACAGCAACTTAAAACTTAATGTCCACCGAAAATCAACTAATAAAAATTACCTAATAAATTTCTATTCCCATCATAAGAACAAAATAAAATCCGGAATAATTATTGGATTCTAAACAAAACAACAAGCCAAAACTTGGAGAAATTTATTCTATCAACTGCAAGGATTGCCAAAAAGAATATATTGAAGAAATCCCAAGAAGTTCAAATAAAAGATTATATGAACACAAAAGAGACAGTTTAAAAAAACAACACACAAAACGCTTTAGTTGTTCACAGTAACGAAACTGACTACAATGTTGTTATAAAACTGCTACTTTAATTAAAAGAGAAAGGATTCAATAAGACGAAAATCTCTAGAAAGTGCTTTTTTTGTTATCATAATATGGGATATTTAATAACAAAGGTGATGATAAAAAAAAAAAGAATATAGATGAATTTGAAGTCTTCTGAAGATCACGTGAACACAAAACTCGGGTACGACTAGAGCCATCCTTTCATAGGATTTAACGTTTTTTGCTCGATCTAGACAATTTAGACTTCGAACACTTTACTGATTAGGTAAGTTTGCCTTAGACTCTTCCCCTCTTTCTTTTTTTCAGTATTGTTCTTTTTAATTCGAGACTTTATCTGGATTAGAGTTTTAGGTTTTGGATAGTTGTCTGTTGGTTCCATGTTTTTGGCATGTACGTGTCTTTATGGGTGTCTATATGTTTAGTAACTTGCATGCACATTTTATTGTGTATATGCGTGTTTTTTTTTTGCGCGGGGGGTGTTTTTTTTAAAAAGGTTCGTGGAGATATTTCCTGTCTCATCACATTTTTGTGTGTATATATATCTAAATATGTCTGCGTGCTTATGTATTATAATCTGATTGTGTATGTATGGTCTTCCGCAAAATGTCATCATCCCTTGCCTACACTTAGAATTCAAATGTATCCATGTTGTCATGAAGTTAAGAGCAGTCGATCTTAACGTTTATTCCAACGTAATTTCAATAAAAACAAAATAAATAGAATAGCATATGTATTTTTCTTTTTTCCTCGGTAATTTTATAATTTTTAAACTTAATAGTGATTAAATTTAGATTTTAAAATGGGTAATTTTTAATTTTAATTTCAAATTTTATTGTATAATGTAATACTTATTAGTTAGAATAAATTCTTTTTTAGTATAACCCCAACTTTAAAGCATTTAATAGGTCATTATAACCTTACTTCGTTGTCAAGTTTTTTGAATTCTCGTATACTTGTATTTTGATTGGTCATTCCAGCTTATGTAACAGCGTTTTCCCTTACGAGGTGTGGTTAATTAATTTGAATCTTTTAAAACTCTTTATTCTACATTCAACATCATCACTTGATAAGACACCAGAGGTGTTGAAACAAAATGGCTATTTTTGTAGAGATTTTATGTTATCATTTTTAAATAAATAATTATATTTGCTCTACTTTGATTGAGCACTCTTTTAAGAATAGTAATTGTTGTTTATTGGAATTTATTCCGTATACTTGTATATATATATATATATATATATATATATATATATATATATATATATATATGACAATAAGGAAAAGCTTACAAACAACGCGTTTAGCCTACATCTTTTGAGGTTGGCTTCTTCAGGTCGCAATAAAATACAAAACTGTGTGTAAAGAAAGTTGGGATTTTTTAGGTAACGCACCGTTTATAAGCATTTAAACTTTGTCTCATCATTTCCCCTTTTTGGGTTATTATTATACATCTTACAAAAGCACACAAACATACACACACATATCTTACTTGTATATATATATATATATATATATATATATATATATATATATATATATATATTATGATTTACATTGTCTTTCATATTAATATATCATTGATGCTATTAATCTTTCAGGTGGTCTTTGACTTTTCCTGTTTGGAATTTTTCTTCAAGATTCTGAGATATTCCGGTAACTTCAGAAATTGCTCGATGCCACTGAGATATTTACAGCTTGTGTATTCAGAATCCTTTTACCAATAATGTCCATGAAAAAGGAAGTCATTTATCGTCCCCTCATACTGTTTTTCTTAGTGCTTTGCCATTTCTCCTTACCCTTAACTCTGGCTCAGACCTGCCCAAAGCAATGTGATTGTTTCAAGAGCAACATACATTGTCCTTCTCCATCCTTCCCCATCGTATTACCAGCACGAAATGTTTCTCTTCTTTCAATCCAAGGGAATTTTCACACTCTACCAAAGAATGCTGTCGTGCAGCCAAAGAAATGCTTCTTAGCAAGAGTAATGATATATAAAGCAACTATCTTCGATGTTGAGCCATACTGTATGTCTGGCTTGAAGACAGATACTCTAGAGCTTTTGTTTTCGAATATTGTAAATCTTCAAGCAAAAGCTTTTGCCAATATCACTTGTAAAACGTTTCTTATTGAGTATAGTAATATAAATGCTCTTCTTACAATCGGTTTCTACGGCCTCAGCTCTGAACAATTGAGCATTTCTTACAGTAACTTAACACTAGTCAGTCTAAATACTTCATACTTGATTACAGTGGACAATATAAATATTTCAGACTGTTACATTTGTAAATTGGACACACAACTACCAGTCAGAAATCAATCAATGACAATCACCAGGAATATAATCCTGTCTTTTGACTCAAACGCAACAGTCGGGGGGTTGTTTTATGAAAACCAAATTTTCTGCAGCTGCAATCTATTCTCTGAAGAGTTTATCAATGTCATATACAAAAATTACTTATTTGACAACACTTGTTTTGACCCACCTCACCTAAAAGGGATACCTTTGATTGACGTAAACCAATCAGAAATCTGCAACCAATCCCACCAGCAACCTGTTCAATGTAGGATTCATACCAATTCTAATAATTCTTCTTCTGAATTCTTCAAAATTAATCAACTCCTGATATTCTTCCTGGTTTTTGTAGTGATTTCTTCTGTTTACCATTTATAAGAAATTGGACAATTAGCTTCTTTCACATGAGATGCAACTTAAACGTCTTTTAATGTTCAAATGAAGTAAAATAAATCATTCTTTTTCATTATAACACTTATTATAAACTTCCAAAGGTCACACGTTTGCAAAGTTTTACAGCAACCAAATTTCATTTTTATACTGGGACGTCATGATGTCAAGATGGGTCTAATCAAGCAGGTTAGACAATCATCTTCCACATTAATAAGGGACTTAATAAGGGATTTTCGAATGCAAATTTGTATTTCTGCTAACAAAGAGACAAACAATCGAAACACGTTTTTTACAAAATAAACTCTTTTGCGGTGAGTGGTACACTTTCAAGCAATTAAACTTGGTTCAGCAAACAATAACTTCGAAATTGAAACTCATTACACGGGATAATAATGACACACGTGTATGGACATAATTCATCGTGAAAGATGGATATATTTTGTAAATGACTGAAAATTACTGATAATGTTTTCAGTATAAAATCCACACAGTTGAGTTAAAACTTTTTGTAAGTGGCTAGCAAATGATACTATAAACATGAAAATTTATAACATTCTAAGCACCAAATGCCAAGATGAAAAAAAAAACATTACATTTTCTTGAATTTCAAAACCATAATATATTCCATTCAGTCACCAATGATGGTCGAAAGCTCTTGAAAATATGGACAATTTATTGACACACCAATCTCAAGCATATGTCGTCTTGAACAAAAATATGAGTCATTAAAAATTAACAAAATAAAACTTGTCTGTGCTGTTTTAAAAAAAACTTGTTTAAATAAGGAAAATTTCTACTAAAATATACATTTTATATATACATTCAGATAGATAGAGAGAGAGAGAGAGAGAGAGATAGGAACACACAAGGATAGATAGATAGATAGATAGATAGATATTCACGTATGCTCCTTATATTATATAAAAAGTGGTGACAACATTATGTGGAAGCACAATAAAGTATTTGGAAATTACAAAATTTTCGTATACACTTCAATTCAAATCCATTTGACATTAATGGCTTCACTGATGAAACCAATAACCTTTTACTCTCGGCACCTGATCAAGATTTCTTTATGGCCGCTACCCTTTTGCTTTTTGTCTCTTGCTCTTGTCAGATGGCGTCAACTATAAGTGGTGAGGTGTGAGGCTGAGAACTCTTTTACACCTTGTCTTGTTAATGTGTTAATAGGAGGGTGTATATGTGAGATTATAAGATAAAGGGTTTTAAATAATAGTAACAATAATAATAATAATAACAACCACAAAAGAAATGATGATAAAAAAAGAAAACTTGCAAATAAGCGAGATATTATGTTCAGGGCCGGATTTAGGACAAATGTGCTTCTTAAGTTATGAGGCCCATTACTTGGGTCCTGAAAAAGGTTGGTCTGGCATGCCTACACAGGCAGTCCGGCATATATGCACAGAAAATTTGGGAGTGGTTAAAATATTGCATGTTATCTGATCAATCATTATTTTCAACAGGTTTTAGGCAAATTTTTGAATTATCAGGGCTCAGCCTCAAGGAATTTTTTTTTGGGGGGTGTTATGGCCAAATTCAGGTCTAGACTGTATGGGCTACATGTCAGCGATGTATATTACAACAAACGTAAAAGCTATTATATATTAACCAAAGTCCCAACCCGCCCAACACTATCTTACACAGGTCACGTGATGAAATAGTCAACCCCGATGAAAAGAAAAAAGAGAGGACAGTCATTATAGTCAACTTAATGTAATTAAATCTAAACATTATGTAACATTTTAACCTTTGAAGATTGACAAAATTTTTAAATCTTAAACTTTATTGAAAATAACAATCTTAAGTCATGTAGTGATGATTGATGAAGAAGTTTATTGTTTACACAAAATAGTCAGATAACCAAATTGCCATGTTTTCGTATTACCCTATTAAAACTAATTAGGAGGTAATTTAATGTAAAACATCTTCCCTCGAGCTTTCCTGACTACAAACTCATCAATGATTTCATCAAAATCAATAAATTACAGTTTATCATTCTCTATAGAAAGAATACTCAGACCAGACTCTCTCTTTTGTGACATTGTTGAACGAAGGTTACTTTTGGTCTTTTTCAGCATGGCAAATGATCGCTCTCCAGAAAAGTTGCCATCAAACACGGGAACAATCTGAAAATTGTTTCCACACTTGGAAAAATAGCCTGGATCATTCTTGTCTTGGTGTTTGAAACTTTCTTCTTTTTTTTTTTTTTTTTTTTTTTTTTTTTTTTGCATGAACTTGTTTGATATACAAGTGGAAAGTCAAGAGTTCATCAACAAGATTGAGATATCCTTTAGATATTCTTGTTCTAGTCTCCTGACACCATGGAGAATGTGTTCTCTCGTTGCTTGCAGATCAGTTAAAAACGAAAAATTGTCAGCAACACTCCTGTACACAGTAGCTCTTCTCTCCAAATTTGAATGAAGAGCATCAATTACAGCGATAAATGAATGTATCCTAAACTTATCTCTTGGAGAAATTTCATCCAAGGCCTCAGTTGCACTGCCATAATTGTGTTGTCGTTTATGCACTCTACGCCTTATTTAGAGAGTTTTGTACTCTGCATCAGGGAGAACAGTTTTTGCTTACTCCTCAATCTCATCAAAATTTCCCCGTGTGCTGGGAACAAATTGCAGAAGCGAACTGTATAGGTTTGCACATGTGGTCAATGAAATCTGTGCAATTTGAAGGATATTACTTTGTGAAACTGCCCAAGCAAACCTGTCCATAGATTAAGCACGAATATGACGTTGAGACGTTCGATGTTCGTTCCCCGCGGCTGACTCTTCAATGAATTACTTCGATCCAAGCCTTTCTTCGTTTTACGTTGTGTTTGATTTAGGCTGGCGAGTATCAAATTGTCGACAGGAATCATTGAATTGGTCTGGTCTGGGTAACAAGTCATATGATAGATTTCAAAAAAGAAAATGTTTTATATGCCGTTTCTTGTACATTGCTGATGGTACGATGACTAAGTCTGGACAAGGCTTCTGGAATACAGCGAAAAGTCGGGGGTCTTTAGCGGCAGGAAGTCACGTTCGTTCAGTGTAACGGTCGTCTCTCGCTTGGTGTTTGGCGCCTTCTCTTCTCTCTCTCTCTCTCTCTCTCTCTCTCTCTCTCTCTCTCTTTCGCTCTGGTCGTCGCTTCGATCTTCTGTTTATATGGATCTTCGTTCAAAACTGGCACGGGGGTTCGACGTGGTTTGAGATTTCGGTGATTCCCCTGATTTCTACACAGAGTTCTTTGTTTGTTTGACTCTGGGAAATTAATCACATGCCCAATTTTAGAAAAGCCCCTCTTCCAGGTGGTAGTAATAGCAGAATATCGAGCTACCCTAACTCCTTCCTTTTCGTATTTGTGCCTCATGCCAATACTACCCAAGGGGTGTAGGTAATCCCTTCGCCTCTCTTAGTATTCTACCTATTCCTTTCACTTCGGTTGTCATTTCGACCAAACCGATCTCTAGACTGCATGGGCGTCCAAAATTTCCATCACCGGAATATTCGACCCCTTCCACCTTCCCAATCCAGCACTCACCAGCCGCTCCGTCGACAGTCTCCTCTTGTGGCATTTCGGCTCTCATCTAAAGAAATTTCACCGCTCCGCTCCAGCGATTTACACCTTCCCTTCCTTTATTGACAAGTGATAAAAATAACAAGTCTCCAACTTTGCCTTTGCTTCCCTAAATATCACCTTTCGAACGACTTTCCTTACCGGGTTATGGCCAGCAGATAATTCCATAACCCATATTTTAAAAACAACACACCGCTTCTCTCCATCTCTCGTGGGTTTAAATTACCCAGATGGCTTTTTCGACCAGAGTCCCCAAAATAATAATAAAGGCATTCTATTCCCAGCCTGATCCCACTCCTGATTGTCCATCGAGGATTCTCATATCTCTATTTTTCTGTGGACGTGTTGACAGTCCAGTATTTACCAGGTTCATTTCATAATTGTCAACTTTGGACATATGGCTTTTGTAAAAAAAATCAAATGTTTCTCTCTTGCCTTTACATAAGGAAGAAGAAAAAACCCTCCGAATTTAATAAAATCTGATCGAGACTCTCGCTATTTTTATCGATTTATCTTTCAACCCTTAAAGTATCACATCTCTCTCAGTATAGCCATCGAGCTATCCCTTCAACACTTAAAGTTTCACATCTCTCTCGGTATAGCTATCAAGCTATCCTTTCAACCCTTCTAGTGTCACATGAACACAAATTCTTCCATTTTCTGCAAAATATTTTAAGCTTGTCGTCTAGTATCACCTTTTTTCAGTGTCATCATCATAAATGTGACTGAGCGCTTCAACAATAACTTTCACTGATAGATGTCGTAGCTTTGGAATGGTCCTCCCATGTTGTGACAGATAAATGTTGCAGAACTTTTGATTCTGGAGGCAAGAAGTTTTTCCTCACTGCCCACCGTCTTGTAGAGGCAGAGAAAAAGCAAGAAAGTTCATTGACCACACCAAAGAAATTCATTACACCCAGACAAGAGGCAATTGGATCTCTTTCAACCAGATTTAGGGAATGCCCAGCCCAGGGAATACATTTTGCAAATTTATTCTTTTCTAGAATTTTCGGTTGAACACCATTATACTTTCCAGCCATTTTAGATGCATTGTCATATGATTGACCTCCTGCATTTACTAAAATCAATTTCAAGTTCTTCAAAGAAGTTCAGTATTAGTTCAGCCATTCCTTGACCCATGTGATTCTTCAGTTAAATGCCAAAAATCGTTCAACTGGTATTTCATCAAGGGGAGAAACATATCTAACAATTACAGTGAGTTGATCAACAGTGGAAACATCAGGTGTTGAATCGATTGATACACTAAAATACCTTGCTTTTTTATATCTTTCATTATTTCTTCAAGAATTTTTTAGCCATTAGCTGGGTAACTTGTTCACATATGGTCTTGAATAGGTATGATGGATGGACAGATCCTTTATTTCCATACTGGTTTATGTGGGTACGTAAGAATGGATCAAATCTGGGAATAAATTCCAGCAAACCGAGAAAATCCCCATTGTCTTGATAGCCGATGGTTTCATTATCTCCTCTAAAGGTCAATTCACGTTCTGCCAACAGACAAATCACTGCCAACACTCGTTGATGCACGCGCCTCCAGTATTCCTGTTCTGCTTTGATTTGCTGATCAAACTTTGTTGGAAGTGTCTGACAACGTTTTCTTGTTAAATAGGTCGACATATGACTGCTTGAATTTTCGTGGGTCTTAATAATTTGAGAATGATACCAGTTATCAAATCCTGAAGAAGCTAGAACTGTAGTTGAAGAAACATTTTTAGAGAATTTTGAGAGACGTGTGCACAAAAACAGTAAACTTTTCTTTTTGTTGGAAAATATACTAGCCATTCCCGAGGGTAGCCTTTCTCCATTTATTTTAGTGGAGAAGAATAAACTTCTTGAGGAACAACGAGTTACGTTTTTGTAGGTCCTCATCAAATATGTGAAAGGTGCATCCCAGGGTTAACATTCAAAAGGGCTTTGAATCCAGTATGAAATTCTTCATTGCTCAATGTGGTCCATAAACCTACATCATTCTTGACAATAAAATCAGTAGAAGAGCAAAAATTCCCTTCTGTACACTTGATGGGTGAAACTAAAGCTTCTGTGTCTGTTGATTTATTGGTACTTGGAATTACTGACAAATGTTCCTGAGTGTTACTGGTACTTGGATTTACAGACGAAGGTTCTAGAGTGTCACTGGTACTTGGATTTACAGACAGAGGTTTTTGGAGTGCCACTGGTACTTGGATTTACAGATGAAGGTTCTAGAATGTCAGTGGGATATGTATTTACAGACAAAGGTTCTGGGGTGCCACTGGTTCTTGGAGTTACTAAAACATGTTCCTTGGTGACACTGGTACTAAGTGTTACTGACAAATATTTCTGGGTATCAAGTAATGCATCTGAATCTTCTGCATCTGCTGTTGAACTTGTTTGTTTCGAATGTGCAAAGCTAAATGATGTGATTGGCTTTAAATGTTTGAGCAATACTTTTTCGCGTTTTCTTTAACTTGGACCACTTTAGTATCGTCTGCTCATTGTTAGGATTAAAAAGCTGGAACGGTAATATCATTTATTTGGATTCGGTTCTTGAAAGAGAGAGAGATAGTTGGTATTTAACGCCTCATCAGCACCTAAACGGGTTATATAAAGGCAAACTATTATCGCGGCTGCCTTTGGCCTCTCCCTAAACCGGAAGAGAACAGGTCATTTCGACCTTGACCTTTCGGTTGTGCTCCCTACACGCTGTTAATTACGCGGTAGAGACTAGCTAATTACCTTTTCAGTTTAGTTGTATTACGAACCCAGTCGTAATATACTTCTAAGCATTTTTAGGCCTTGATTTTCTTGTAGCTAATCTCGACTTATTTTTTAGGATAGATTTTACAGTATTAGCTTACCAATTCTGTTGCTAGTCTCCCTTACCATATTACAGTGACTTCTCGTCGAATTCAAAGTCGGCGACTGAAACGGTCGGTACGCGGGCTCATGGCCTCCAGCCAGGAACGTCGACCACCGGGCTGCGTATTTTCGTCTCTACTGTCTGCCTGCATGTCGTCCGTAACCTTTCCCGTACACTACGTTTGTAATAACTACGGGAGGTTTCGACATCGGACTCGACCAGCAGACACGCAACGCCAGCACTGGATTTTCGATATGCCCAAGCAACATCGCAACGCCAGCTCCTCTTTCCTTCCCGACACGTCAAGTTGGCATCCCGAACAGCAGCGATCATCTGCAACGACCAACATCTACCTCAACTACGGCGATCATCTGCAACGACCAGCAGCGACCACCTGCAACGGCCAGCAGCGATCATCTGCAATGACCAACCTCGACCATCAACGTCTGCATCTCCACCTTTCCGACCACTTTTATTTCTTTCCTTAATAAATTAGTATATATCCTATATATATCCTCGTTCTGTCGTCTGTGTTGTTTCACCTTGTCAGATTTAACGTCTTCGAAATGTTAGCGGGCCTCTTGTGACCTCATCACCTTTGTGATTCGGAGGGTCCGCTACACTATAGTATGGAAGATCTAAAATATGGAAAGTTCTAAATTATGTAATAATAAGTACAAGTAAGACGCCTTTGCGGTGATGAACGAACGTCGCTCAGTGCTTCTCTAAAATATATTTAGATCTTTAGTAGTTTTAGTAACGCACTTGCCTTAAATTTTACACACACGCACAGAATAGTGCTATGGAATAGATATGCGTTATATCTGAAAAGTTTAAGTAGATCAACATGATTTTAGGTTACTAATATGTGCAAAAGCTGAGGCTGAATCGATGGAGATGTATTTTAATGTATTTCAGCAGAATTTTGATTTTTTTTTTTTTGAATGAACGTAGCCCCGCCAACACACCCGCACACAACCCCCACACACACACACACAGTGGCCAACGGGGACTCGTGTTTAAGCACACCTAAGCACAATGGTAAATCCGGCACTGATTATGTGTGACTAAGCTGATCAGAATAAATCTAATGGTAGTAATGGTTATAAAAATAATAGTAATATTAATGAAAATGGGAGAAGTCCACAACAAATAAGCATCTATATGGATACATAGACATGGTCATAAGATAGTAATGAACGACACAGAGTAGAATATATACAAATATAGTCAACTCTTGTCCAGATTGTAACAATAAAGCAGAGAGTGGGTTAGTTGTTATTTTTACAAAATGTATAATCAATGAGAATTCCTAGGTCTTTATTTAACCCTGAATTGTGGGTATTAAATCTGATAATGAAATTGTTTTCAGCTTTTCTACGACTGATCCGAGAATTAAAGGAAGAGGCTAGAGGCACGTATCTAACATTGTCTATTCTATGATTAGATTAAGTTGAAATGTTGTGCTATAGTAGAGTAATTACAGTTGTCTCTGATCGTCTGTTTCTGATTGTTGAATCGGAGACGAAATTTAGAGATTGTGTTCGAGTTGTCGCAAATAAGGTGAATGGGGGTGGGGTACTTTAACTTCTGTACCAAGAACAATGTAAGTTGTAGCGTTGAGAACGCGCTTAATGGAACATTTCCTATAAGAATGTGCTATCTAATATGCAACATCGGACAGTACTTCCTAAAATTAATTTCCAAACACTTCCACAAAAAAATCCTCTAAACAAGATATTCAACAGGAAGTCAATAAAAATTAGCTACTCCTGCACTAATAATATGTATCAAATTTTAATTCCCATAACAGTTGCATGTTAAGTAAATTCCATGGAAAAAAAAAATCTAGCATGGAATGTAATTGTAGAATTATGGAAAAATACCCAGTAGAGGGCAAATGCAAATCCACTAGGGTAGTATACCAGGCAATCATTACTCCTAAAGAAAATATGACAAATTATAATATTTACATCGGCAACTCTACAGGAGAATTTAAAAAGAGAATCAATACACATAGACACTCATTTACCAATCTAAAATTAAAACACCAAACAGCCCTTTCAAAGAAATTCTGGGAATTGAAAGAAAAAGGTTTGAATCCCCAAATAAGTTGGAAATTTTAGGTTTCGCGAACACCCCCAATAGTTTTAGAGATAGGTGCACGCTATGAGAAAATCAGTAAAACAAAATACAAAAATCAATGCAAACTATTAAATCAACGGAAAGAGATAATTACGAAATGTAGACATAGGGACAGATTCAAAATTACATAAGAATATATGTATATGTGGGGGGGTGTATGCGTATGGTTACTTACATATATGTATGTATATGTCAACGCACAGACACGTGTATGTGGATATATGTATGTGTATATGTGATGGATAGCATGATCTATTCCATTAGGTGCCACAGTATTACTCACAATTTATGAATCTATCATTCAACTAATTTACCTAAATTTAATTGGTCTTAAGGTTAAATCCCTCTTAACTTATTAATAACATTAAACCCTTATGGACTAAATACTATTTACTGTAAATCCCAGGAAAACACACTTGTTGGTAGTATACGGAACACCCCATAGTGGAAACCGAAATTTAGTTACAGACAACGAAAGACACTTGCCATAAATAAAATCCAACCCAGACCACTTCCTCCGTAATGAGATACCTGACGCCCAACACAAGCCCTTTATCATAAACAAGGCGTGCTTCGGATGAGTACTGA